CGCCTTCTGCGGGGGCCAGCCCTGAGCACGCTGCTTGTGCCCCTCAGGGAAGCACCGCCCCCCGGTCCCCCCACTGCGCCGGCTCTGGACCCCGCCCCTCTGAGGGGGGCTGGGACCAGGGGTGGGAGAGAAGTTCCACCAGTTTCTCTCTTTCCTTCCTCCTCCTCCGCCCCGTAAAACCCAGCCCCTCCCTCCTGGCCCGGCCTGGGCGGCCTGCTCCCAGCACTGCTGCTCCAGGCTCACAGGGGCAGGCAGCCCCCCCCGGTCCCCCCACTGCGCCGGCTCTGGACCCCGCCCCTCTGAGGGGGGCTGGGACCAGGGGTGGGAGAGAAGTTCCACCAGTTTCTCTCTTTCCTTCCTCCTCCTCCGCCCCGTAAAACCCAGCCCCTCCCTCCTGGCCCGGCCTGGGCGGCCTGCTCCCAGCACTGCTGCTCCAGGCTCACAGGGGCAGGCAGCCCCCTCCCCGCGCAGATGGGCTCCACGACGCCTCGCGTTTTCCACCAGCTCAGCAGAAACGCCCCCAGAAGGTCAGTGACCAAAGCAGGGGACGATCCATCATAAAACAAACTGGTTTCATGTCCCAGGGCCAGGGGAGGGGCTGGGACCGAGAGCAAGAACAACCCCCCATTTCGAAACAGCCTCCTTGGAAATCCAGCGCAGGCACCGAGCCCCAGCCGAGTGCTGGGCGGAAGGACGGAGGGGAGCATGGGAGGAGCGAGGGAGCGTGTGCATGTGTGTGCGTGCGGAGGAGCGAGGGAGTGTGCACGTGTGTGCGTGCGGAGGAGCGAGGGAGTGTGCACGTGTGTGCGTGCACACGAGCAACCGAGGAGGCCAGTGGAGTGTGCATGTGTGCTGGTACAAGTGGGGAGGGGGGAGGAGTGAGGAGCGTGCGTGGGGGCATGAGTGTGTGCATGCTTGTGCGTGCACGTGGGGAGAAGTGTGAGTGCTGGTGTGTGCGTGTGGACGTACGAGGGGGCGTGTGGACGTGGGAAGGGGCGCATGTGGACGTGCGAGGGGGTGTGCGGATGTGGCCAGTGGAGTGTGCATGTGTGCTGGTACAAGTGGGGAGGGGGGAGGAGTGAGGAGCGTGCGTGGGGGCATGAGTGTGTGCATGCTTGTGCGTGCACGTGGGGAGAAGTGTGAGTGCTGGTGTGTGCGTGTGGACGTACGAGGGGGCGTGTGGACGTGGGAAGGGGCGCATGTGGACGTGCGAGGGGGTGTGCGGATGTGCGAGGGGGCGTGTGGACATGGGAAGGGGTGCATGTGGAC